TCTTCTACTTCCAGGTTCCCATGTTTGTATTTAAAGTTTGAGAATCTGTCACTGAATATAGAAGTGTAACTAGTGGTTAAGAGCACTGACTGCTCTTCCAGAGGATCCAGGTTCCGTTTCCTGCACCCACATGGCAGCTCACTACTGTCTGTAACTCTAGTTCCAGGGGATCTTATGCTCTCATACAGACATACAGGCAAACACCAATGCATAAGAAATAAAAATAAATCATAAAATTACATTAAAAAAAGTGTAACAGAATTTTAGCTCTGTAACAATATTATATAGAATTTTAAAATTATTTTATACTAGTTTCCTAAAGTAATTTAGTGAACCAACAGAAAAACACCCCAGTAAGCTGTTCTTATTAATATAAGTATAACATATACAGTGCTTTCAGCCCCTTGCTGTCTGATTACAGAGTATAGAAAATTATCAAGAACCCTAGGCTTATCTCTAGGATTGACATTTTGTGTATGTATGTGTGTGAATCTGTGTGTGTATATATAGTTTTGCTTTTCTAAGCTAGTTTAAAACATTTCATAGTGATTCTGTTTGCTATTTAATTTGAGGTTGATGCTGTTTCTTAGAATGGTTGCTTTGAGCTTTTTTTTTAACAATTAACTTAAATAATACTGTAGTCATTATTAAGTAAACCCTCAATTTTGTATTTTCTGTATATATACGTATTTTCTAGTGATCATTATTATAAGTATAACATTAATAGCCATGTCAAATACCAAGGCCAATTTTCAGTGAGGTAATACATAACTCAATTTGTGGTTTGTTTTTTATGATGTATATATAAATACAATTCCTAGCATGAAGACGAGATCAGAGATAAAATAATTATCTATGCCGGGCGGTGGTGGCGCAAGCCTTTAATCCCAGCACTCTGGAGGCAGAGGCAGGCGGATCTCTGTGAGTTTGAGGCCAGCCTGGTCTACAAGAGCTAGTTCTAGGACAGGAACCAAAAGGCTACGGAGAAACCCTTTCTCAAAAGTTCAAAAAAAAATAATTATCTATTACTGGATTATTTAAAGTTATATGCATTTCTTTATTACAGAACTTGTTAGGATCTTTATTCTTCAAATGTTCGTAGTAGATACTTTAGAACTGGATATGACACAGTATTTGCAAAACATATTTTAAGATGGAGCTCCTGCCGGGCGATGGTGGCGCACGCCTTTAATCCCAGCACTCGGGAGGCAGAGACAGGCGGATCTCTGTGAGTTCGAGACCAGCCTGGTCTACAGAGCTAGTTCCAGGACAGGCTCCAAAGCCACAGAGAAACCCTGTCTCAAAAAAAAAAAGATGGAGCTCCTGCTTCTCAGTCTCAAAATAGTTAGAAAAACACTATTTAATTCAGTTAGTATTTTTGTGAATTATTGTGGAGCAAGTAAAACGATGAACTTTTACTAGGAAAAAGTAGTGTTTATCAATTGGATACTTGTCAGTTTGAGATGCATTTTAAGTCTTCCTAAAGAAGACACATAATATTTTGTTTGTACCCTCTCTGCTGCTTCTTCCATAGCTTTTCTGTAAAGAAACTTATTAACATGGATAATGTTCAAACATATTTTAAATTGCATGGTTATAAACTGATGATTTCCCTAAACTTTGAGTTTCTCATGTTTTTCTCTTCTGAGGTCTAAACAGATGTTGATTTTCTAATCTGACAGATCTGCATGCCAATTCTTAGTCATCTGAATTTGGTCAAGATTGAGCTCTACTTCTAATCCTCCAGTCTCAAATCCCGTGTTCTATTTACTATCCTGGCTAACAACACTTGTATCTTTTCAGTTGCCCAAAATTTAAAAATCCAGGAAACTCGGATTTCTCCTTCATCAGAATTCAAATCACATCATGTGTTTGCTGTCTTATACGTTGTCTGTGTTTAATAGCATCCTGCCTGTTACCCATTGCATAGCAGCAGCATTCTTCCCCTTTCCCTCCCTCACCCCCAGCTCTAAGAACTAAACCTAAAGTTTTATGCATTTCCTGCCTGATAGGCAAGCATACTACTATCAACTTTATCTTCCTAAACTGCACAATTATTTCCTGCCTGATTTCACTTTCTTCCAAGGGAGATCCCCAAGAACTGGCTTTTCTATTTCTTCATTCTTGTACTTTGTATACTCACTAAAATTCTTTTTTTTTCTTTAATCGGGGGTGGGGATGAGTTCTGAGACAGGATTTCTTTGTGTAGCCCTAGCTGTCCTGGAACCAGCTCTTGTAGACTAGGCTGGCCTTGAACTCACAGAGATCCACCTGCCTCTGCCACCACTGCCTGGCTTGAATGTTTTTAAAGAATCTATGCCCCAGCTACATCTCCAGCCTCTAGCCCAGTTCTTGGCATGTAGTAGATATTTTTTAATCTTGTGTTCTTATGTTGTATCAGATGTTATAGTGGTCTCATTAGTGATATTATGTCCCTAGTCTTTATCATCCAGAGTTTGTTTTTTTTTTAAATATTTATTTATTTGTTATGTATACAATATTCTTTCTGTGTGTATGCCTGCAGGCCAGAAGAGGGCACCAGACCTCATCCCAGATGGTTGTGAGCCACCATGTGGTTGCTGGGAATTGAACTCAGGACCTTTGGAAGAGCAGGCAATGCTCTTAACCGCTGAGCCATCTCTGCAGCCCCTATCATCCAGACTTTGAACAGTTGGCTTTTGACCACAGAAATCTTAAGTTCAATTTTAATCAAGAAACTATTTGTTCCTTGAACAAAGCTGTATACTTAGTTAATATTCAAATGTCATTTGTTTATGAAATAACTAGTTAGCAGATGTTACTGAAGGAATTGATATAAATTGAGGAAGTTGATGTGTGGAGAGTATTTAAGACACGCTGAAGTCATGGGAGACATGCTGTCCCATCCACGAGGCTTAATCTGAAGAGCCATTCACCACAGAGCAGGTTTACTGTCCCTGCTCTGGGCACTTCTTTGTCTTGGTTTTCTTTTTCCTATACTTTTTTTTTAAAACTTACTCTTGTAAAGATGTTTTAAATTATTTAAAATAAATTTGATTTATTTAGATTTAAACATTAAATATCCCCAGTTAAAAGGTTAACATTCTGACCAAGCTTAGTGGCTTACCTCCTGCAATCTCAGCACTCAGGAAGCAGGGGCAGGAGGATATTGACTTCAAGAATAGCCTGGGCTACGTAGCAAGACTTTCTCATTAAGTAAATAAATAAATAATGTTGTTTAAACTAACTAGGGTGAGTAGCAAAGACAACCTAGTGAATGTTGTTTCCAAAGCAAGTTTACTCAAAACTTGGAAACGTTGGACTATAGTGCTCCTGTTATGTGCAGATTGCCTTGTGCCTTCTTTTCCAACATGTAATATTGTTTTGAGTATTGACTAGTTTTGTTCTTTCTATTTGTAAAACCTTCTTGTACATTTTTCAGATCCTACTTGATTTAAGAAAATATTGTTTATGGTTTTGAGTACCTCCTCCATATACCTTTTGGTATAACTCATGGAAGGATAGTATATTGAATGGAATCTTTCAGTTATTACAGATTGATGTAGTTGTAAGTTCATAAAATGTCTGAGTCAGGGTCTTTTATTTTTATAGTCTGTTCTCTATAGTATATCCTACTTGTCACCTAGGGACCTAAGTCCTAGAAATAATTAATTAAAAAGCACTGAAGCTTTGCTCCTGGGGAATATGATACCATGTTCCTAAAGCCTCTGGTCACATTTTATAAAGCAGTTAGGACATGCAATTGTTTCATGCGCATTTCTTTCATGTGTTTATTTATAGGCATGCTCTCATAATGTTTGCAGTTCAGTTTGGCCTTGAATTTACAAGATAATCCATGCTTCCCAAATGCTGGGATTGTAGGTATACCGCACTACACCCAGTTAATGTGTGATTCCATTATCAGTGTCTTAACATTGAACATGTGACCAATTATAGTATGACTTGTGCCTGAGTTAAGCTTATCTAACACATTTTTCTTCATAAGACACATTAACTTGCATCTATGAATATATAAAACTTAGGAACACGTCAGCATTATGCCGAGAGGCCATTTTAAGCAGTGAATCTATTATAGCACAGCAGTGCAAAAACCGTGGTACTAAACAGACCACTGAAAAGACACCTGCTTGTATCGTCTGAGTGTTGAAACAAGACGACAGTATTGTCTTGTTCATCTTCAGGTGGAAAAGTACATGTTAGGTGACTCATTTTTCCACAGTTCCGTAAGACGGGGTTGGGGGGAGTCACAAGTACTTACTTGAAGACTATTAATTTGGTTCTCTATTGCTGTGATAAAACAATAACCAAAAGCTTGAGGGAGAAAATTGTTTATTTGGCTTACAGCTTCCAGTCCATTATTGAGAAAAGCCGGGGCAGGAACTGAAGCAGAATTCACAGAGGAATACTGCTTACTGGCTTGCCCAGCTCGCTCTCTTATACAACCCAGGATCTCTCTGGAGCCGAGCGCTCCTCCCCCCACTCCATCAGTCATTAATCAGTTCCTCAGAGACAGTCCAAAGGCCATTCTGATGGATGCAATTCCTCAGTTGAAGTTCTCTCATTCCAGATGACTCTAGTGTGTCAAGTTGGCAAAACCTCGCAGAGTTACTGATGTCTTTTAGTGAGTAGCTGAATTCATGTGTACAGAGTCTCTGAGTAGCAAGAATTGGCTTTTTAAAAATTTTGTTATTTTATTTTATTTTTTGGAGACAGAATTTCTCTGTAGCTTTGGAGACTGTCCTGGAACTACCTGTGTAGATCAGGCTGGCCTCGAACTCACAGAGATCCGCCTGCCTCTGCCTCCCGAGTGCTGGGATTTTAAAGGCATGTGCCACCACTGCCTGGCGGCTGTAATTGTTTTAAAGAAGTTTAAAATGGAATACTTGCACTTTTCATATTGGAAAGAAAGATTCTTTTATTTGTGGGTATGTGTAAGTTCCTAGTAATGCAGCCAGTCGTCACCTTTATGGTTTTATGTCTTCTCTGTCTTCTTCCCTCAGGGAACAACCTATCTTCAGCACTCGAGCTCATGTCTTCCAGATTGACCCAAACACAAAGAAGAACTGGGTTCCCACCAGCAAGCATGCAGTCACTGTATCTTATTTCTATGACAGCACAAGAAATGTCTATAGGATAATCAGTTTAGATGGCTCAAAGGTAGGTCACAGTTACTTCAAATAATCTTACTCTCTTGCTCTCCTCAGCATAGAACTTCAATTTCATTCATATTTTAATTTTTATTAAAATACTCCTTTTTGAATTACTGAGCCTGACTTTAAGAAACAAAAAGTGGTCATTCTTAGAGTAGCAACATTTTTTGTTCATCAAGTTTTTTGAATAAACTTACTCTCTTATTATATTTTTATGAGAAAACATACTTTTCAGATTTATGGTAGATTAGTTTGTTTAATGAACATTTCTTGTATTTCTGTTTTGTATCGATGTTGAATGGTAAGAAAATATTGGTGAACTGTGAATTTCCATATTAGTCACTTTTCATTCTTACAACACCAGCTTTTGACTACCTGCGGAGAAAAGGCTTTATTTAGTTTACAGTTTTGAAGCTAATCCAAGGGGGACTAGCCCTTTCTCCTTGGTTATAGTGTGTTGCTGGGTCCTAAAGTCTTCCTCAGGGGAGGGAGTAAAAAGGCGCAATGACAACAAACTCAGATGCCAGGAGTCAGATAGAAGGCTTATAGCAGACTTGTTTATTTAACAATGGGGAAAAACTTGTATAACATCCTCCCAGCACCCAGGCATTCTAATCCATTGACAGTTAATATCTCATGCTTGCCTCTCATTGGCTAAACACGATCAGGACCTCTGACAGAGCCTGTTCCTAGGCACTCGGAAAACACCGCTTGGCATCTCTTTATTGGCTAGGCACAGACAGGACCTTTGATAGCTCCAGGCAGACTCCAGGTTGGCTCCTTCCTACAACAGTGCTGTATAGTTTGGTAATGATGATTCTCTATGGATGATCAAGTGATTACATTTTGAGCCATGGTGGAGCTTAATGGGGCCGGGCATGATCCCTTTATGATAGCCCATTCAGGAGAATTGAAGTTCTTTAAATTATTTTACTAGAGCACATTCTCAGTGACCTGATGATGACCTACCTGTAGAACACTTTAATGTTTAACAACACCTCCTTCAGATCACTTCTTGGGGTGGAATATAGGGCTGAGAATCTGGGTTTGGGTCCCAACACCCATACAGAGGCTCATAGCTATCTGTAACTACTTCTGGAGGATCTGACACCCATTCTGACCTCTCCAGGCACCAGGCACACACATGGTGTACATACATACAAGCAGGCAAAATACTCACAAACATTAAATTAAATAAAACAGCAGCAACCAAGATCCTTTAGGAGAACACAGTTAATGCTTAACTAACCCTAACAACTTCTGTACACTTGAACCATGAAGCCTGCCGACTTCAAAACTAAAGTAACAGAAGTGTGAAGACAGAAATCTTAAAATCTTTGCTTATAGGAGAGGTAGATGGTGTAACATTTATGATCAAGGACCATTGGGTTCCACCCTCAACTCTGTCATTTACTGTTTTGACTTTGAAGAAAACGCTTTCCTTTTTTCATACCAGCGTAAGGATTAAGTAAGTTTATATCGGCAAAACACATTTCATCCTTTGTGGATAGTATGCTGTTCATAAGGGAGAATTTTGTATAACTATCAGGTTCCAAACATCAGATTCTGAAGTTTCCTTCAAGTTTTCTTGAAAAGTCTTTCCAACTTTCCATCAGTTTAGTGTAGAAGTTAGGAACACAGAATAGAAGCCACCTCATTCGAATTTTCTACCCTGTGACCTTGACAAGGTGTTCGAGTTCTGTGCATCTGTTTTCTCCCGTGTAGAAAAGATCTTAAGAGTAGTAATGCACTGTTCTACCAGGGCATTGCTGTGAAGAGTAAATACATTCTTAAAAGCACAGTGTGCAGCAGTGTGTTGACTCTGGGTGAAGGTGCTTGTCACCTAGCCTGACAACAGTGGGACCCACACATTGTCCCCAGACCTACAGGGCATGCATGTGCAAATACACATAATGTAAACACATTTTTAGAGTAGCAACACCACAACAGTGTACAGTATTTATGGCATTTGTCCTACATATACTTAATATTACTGGGATAATAATTTTGCATATGACTTAGTATGGTTTGAGGACTAAAAAAAATTAATTTTAATGCTAAACTTGTAGTCTGATGTTTTCATTATGCTCACTCCTTGTCTTTTTAACTGTCCTACAAGGAGGGCTGGAGGTATATATGTATAAAGCCTTTGGTTCAGTGTTAGTCACTACCATTCCCACAAAGAAAAAAGAAGGCAGGCAGGGATAGTAGATTTATTTTAGGAGCAGACCTTGTGTTGAAGTCTTACTAGATTATAGGACCTCAGGGCTATATAGACTTTTTGTCTTACATAAGTCATTAAACTGTGTTTCTCCAGATAGTTCCTTGTCTTTCCACTTTCACGTGAATGACTTAAAGTTGAGATGATGATAGTAAGTTTCTGTGAAATGTTAATGAGTAACTGCTCATAACTGTTTGGTTTAGTGAAGTAAACAGATATTAAATACTATCTCAGGCTTTAATTTATTTTCCCTACTTGAACTCTCAGTTTCTGTAATCTCTTATGTCACTTGACCTAAAAAGTACAAGTATATTGTGCTTTTATTAGATGGGCTTTAAAAGGGGTTAAATGGAAATAAAGGTCAACTGAAGTAGTCCATGTCTAGGAAGGAAAATTACACTGAAATAATTAAATACACTTCAGTTCTTTCAATATTTTTTCTACTGTCTCATCTCCACCTCTCTGTTTCATGATTGCCTTAAAAGCCCAGAGTACCCTAAGTAGAAAATGTTCATTTGTTCTTGGTGCTTGAATGGAACATATGAAACAGTTGATTTTCTTTTGTTTTTGTTTTTTTCTTTCTTCCTTTTTTCTTTTTGAGACAGGCTTTCACTCTTTAGCTCTGGTGTCGGGGACCAGCCTCAACAAAAATACTAATTGCCAGGGTAAGGGTGTGAGGGTTAGAAATATAAGAGTACAAAGGATGCTCAGCTTTATTTGTCATAGCCAGAACCTGGAAACAACCTAAATGCCCTTGACCAAAGAATGGATAAGAAAAATGTAGTACATTTACACAATGGCATATTACACAGTAGAAAAAAGTAACAACATCTTGAATTTTTCAGGAAAATGGATGGAGCTAGAAAACATCATTTTGAGTGAGGTAACCCAGACTCATAAAGACAGTTATCACATGTACTTACTCATAAGTGGTTTTTAAACATAAAGCAAAGAAAACCACCCTACAAATCACAATCCCAGAGAAACTAGACAACAGTGAGAACCCTAAGAGAGACATACATGGATCTAATCTACAGGGGAAGTAGAAAAAGATAAGATCTCCTGAGTAAATTGGAAGCATGGGAACCTTGGGAGAGGAATGAAGGGGAGAGGAGAGGCAGGGAGGGGAGCAGAGAAAAATGTAGAGCTCAATAAAAATTGATAAAAATTTTTAAAAAAGAGTACAAAAATGCAAAAATAATAGTAGAAACTATAGAATAGTATCGGGAGGGAGTTTCAGTGAATACTGAAATCTCCCGCGTTTAACTTCCCATTGCTTAAAATACCCCGACCCTAAGAGGTAGGAGTAAGATAAAAAACTGCATTAACATGATACAAGGAAATGAATAGAACCAGTTGAAGATTGTGGGCTACATCCATAGTTAAACATTCTGTTGCTAGGACAAACTAAGTCACACTCACATCCTAGACCAAAACATTTTGTAGGCAAATCACTCCCAGGTTGAAATCCAGTGTTATCTCCTTAAGGGAACTGGAGCCTTAATTGGATCCTTAGACTTTTGTTTGAGGTAGAAACATATCTACTTCTCTATTCTGGGGGAGTTGAAGGTAGACTATTAACCACAGTAACCTTGAGAGAGGAACTCCCTGGTCACCTAAATCTAAGTGAGACCTTTGTTTGAGGTAGAAACACAATAACCTTGAAGGAAGGGAGCCAATTCTCTGACCCCTGGTCAGGGTGGGAATAGGCTCACATTTTTGGGCCTCTATACTCTGGCTGGCCTGGAACTCAAAAGTTCACCTGTTTCTGCCTCCCAAATGCCAAGATTAAAGGTTTATAGCAACATCATATTGCTCTAGTTATCTGATCATGGTATAGAGACCCTAGCTCACCCTAGCCAGGTCCAAAGCTTTCCTGGTGTGAAATGACACACTTTTCTACATGTTCACCTTAAAAGGACAAAAACTTGAGGTTTGAGAATTATTTATTTTAAAACACAAGATTTTTTTTTTAAATTTCTTCATTCTACTCAAGAGAGACTGTATTATGTGATGCACACACTTTTAATCTCAGCACTTGGCAGGCAGAGGCAGATCGATCTCTAAATTTGACGCTAGCCTGGTTTACAGTGTGCATTCCAGGACAACCAGGAATACACAGAGAAACCCTATTTCAAAAAACCAAAAAAAATTTTAAATTGTGTTCTAGTAAAAAAAAAAAATCTAAGAAATAGATTTTCAGGCATAGGTTCATTTAAAGTTTTGTTTCCATGATTCAAGGACTAGAAATACAGAAACAAGGAGAGGTTCAGGATGGAGATTAGAATGAACCCCTTTAACAAGACATAATGAAGTTAATTTGAAATGGTTGAAATGAACCCTGGTGTCCAACCAGCACATTGGTCAGTTTTTCTTGTTGCTTATTAAATGTATTATCACCCTACCTTTTAGAGTTATTGGGGTCTGATGCCAAAATGCTCTTTTGATATTGGTTAACACTTAGGTTCCTCCTTAACCATTTCATGGAGAACACTGAAGGACCACCAAATCTAGATAATGCTTGCTGGTCTTTATCTGCTTGCCTTTACTCTCTGTTATATCCTTCTAGGGATTTCACAGCCTTTGCAGGCGTTGAAATTCCATTGTTAATATTTCTTTGCTGTAACCAACTCTTATAGTATTAAATTCATAACTGCATTTCCTCTCTTGTTGTTGTGTTTCAAATTTCTAGAATTGTACTTGGTAGCTAATAGGCACTCAGAGAACATCAAACAAATCAATCATCTTTCGTTGTTTGTTTATAGTCTTCTTTCTACTTAGTCCTTTAAATTTTTTTTAGGTTATTTTAATTTATATTATATGTATGAGTGTTTGGTCTGTATTTGTGTATGTGCACCATGTGCCTGGTGTCTGAAGAGAACAGAAAAGAGCATCAGATCCCCTGTAACTGGAATTACAGGTAGTTGTAAGCTACCATGTGGGTGCTGGGTATCAAACTTGGGTCCTCTGCAAGAGCAACAAATGCTCCAAATTGCTTACCAACCTCTCTAGCCCCTAGACTTTTATTTGATGACTGCTCCACAAGTTAAAATAATTGTGAGCATGTTTTAAATTCCTGAAATGGTGTGTGCTAGTGGAAGCTGTTTGAACTAAATGGTGAGGAAGCTTTATAAATATAAATATAGACATTTTATACGAAGATAAAGCTCTCATAACAATAGATAACATATTTTCTTTGAGAAAGGAGGGATCCAGTTTATATTGTGCCATCTTCCTTTTCTTTAGCAGAACAACTATGTCTGTATATCCTCACTGCAACTTCATCAGTTCCTAATAGCACATAAACATTTCCATTCTAGTGTTTTACTTGGTAAACAAATTTCAATTTTTTTTAGAAAATGCTGGATTTTTCATTGCACATTTACTAGTTTGCTAGATGCCAATTCAAATTTGACAACATAAATGTTTTTGTTGTTAGTGCAATTATATTTCTTAATTTTAGGGAGCACTAGACTACCCACCTATAAATGTCCCTTCCCTTTCCAGCACTGGCAGAGAACATGAATTAATGTTATAATACCCGAAATGTATTAAGATCTCCAGAGTTAATCTTTATTAACATGCTAAAAATGCTATGTTTTCTAAGAAATTATGTGTGAAATCAAAATATTGCCACCAGCCTGTTTTTTTTCAATAAGAAGTAAAAATATTTTTTTTTGGAGTTTGTTTTTCCCTTGAATAGAGAAAATGTCTTCTAAATGATTGAAATTCTTTTTTTTGTATGAAAATATATTTTGTGTAAATTAGATTGTATAAAGCTTGATTATGCATTAAAATATCAAAATATCATACATTATTTTATTTTGGTTTAATTTTATGTATGTGGGTGTTATGCCTGCATGCATGCCAGTGCACCATATTCATGCTGGTTGCTTGATGTCAGATCCCCTGGAACTGAAGTTACAGATGGTTGTAAACTGCTGTGTAAGTGCTAGAAACTGAACTCAGGTCTTTGGAAGAGTAGCCAGTTCTCTTTACCCTCTTAACCACTGAGATATTTCTTTAGCCCCTTATACATTTATTTTTGAATGATTCTGTTACAACTAAAGCATATTTGTTTCTAGAGAATAGCATTTAGAATTAGTGAATATTGATCCTCAACATTCCTAGGAAAGAAGTTTCAAAACTGTTTGAAGGCTCAGTGGTTGAACACTTGCCTTGTATATGCAAGATCCTGAGTTTGATGGCCACTCTACCAAAAAGGGGCAATTGCCTAAAACCAAGATTAAAGAAACTGCTTACATTTGTCCATTATCAACTTGTAAAAGTTGATTTACAAGGTACATCTTTGGGGCTTGGGTGCTACCTCAGTCAGTAAAGTGTTTACTTGTGCAAAGGTGAGGATCTGAGTTGTAAAAAAGCTGGACTACATGGGATCTGTATGTAATCTTGCTCTGGGGAGGTTGAGACAGGTGAATTCCTTGGCCTTCTAGTCAAGCAATTTAGCCTAATCAGCAAGTCCCAAGTCCTAGTGGGAAACCCTATCACAAAAACCAAGTTGGACAGCTTTTGAGGAACAACATTTGAAGTTATTTAGCCTACACAGGCATCTGTGTGCATGCCCTTCCCCTCACACATACACACAAAACCTTTAAAGTTTTTTTGATCATTAAAAAATATATCTGTAGTTCTACTAGTTGCATATTTCCACATCGCCACCACTACAATTATACATTTAACTTTGTGAGCTACAAGTGAACCTATTTTTATGTAGCTGAAATGGTCTTATATTTAAAAGCCTATTTGCTTATTTTTGGCTGGCTACTCTTATTTTATTTTTCAGGCAATAATAAATAGCACCATCACTCCAAACATGACATTTACTAAAACATCTCAGAAGTTCGGCCAGTGGGCTGATAGCCGGGCAAACACTGTTTATGGATTGGGATTCTCCTCCGAGCATCATCTTTCAAAAGTAAGTATTTAAGTAGATTTCTGAGAAAATCATCATAATTTACATGTCCTAACATACAATCCTCACTCCTTGCAACACAATAGTAAGTGGAGAATACAAAATACAGGAGAAATTTGTTTAATTTCTGTAATGAAACAACTATAGTGACTTTAAAATAAGAATATTAATATATTAAATATTATATAAATATAAACATAATATAAAAATATAATTGGATTCTTCCTAATTTTACATGAAGATTTATAATACACATTCAGAATAGTCACCACTGGTTATTAGGGCTTCTTGTAGTGAATTAGCTTTGTGGGAGGAAGTAAAAGGTGGGAACTACCTCTCCAGAAGGGATTTTGATTAAAAAAAAATTAACATCCTTTATTTGGAGATGGTCTTAAAGATAAGCAAACACAAACTCTTCCAAATTACGAAAATTACAGTTGACGAAAATATAGATTTCACGTGAATTTTCTTGTTTGTTCCTTAATATGACAGCAGTCATATGTTATTATTTATTGAGAAAACTCTTGATTTGCTTGAATATAGAGTCTTTGAACTGTCTGCTGTACAGACTGAGATCCAATCAGCCCCAAGAGGAATTTCTTGGATAATGTTGATTAAAGGAATTACAGTGGCATGAAAGACTTATAAAATGCAGAGTGTCAACAGACTGAATGCTGGGAACAAGCAGTTGTCCTGCCTGTAAAGAAAGCCACGCCATACTTACACTGGGCATCTCGAGTTCTTGTGGAAATTACACAGGAAGAATGAAAATAGAGAGTGGAAAAGTGCACAGGGAAGAATAGCCACAAGATACTAGGAGGGTAGGATGGATAGTACTCACCTTGCTCTCTGGATTCTGTGCCCACAAGACATAAAGATTTATGCTAAAACTATTCTGTTTAAAGGGTTTGCCCTTATGTAGGAGTCACTTCAGAAACTAATAGAAACCCAAGGAAAAACGAGTTCTGTGGCATACTACTACTTGGTTAACGCATATAGTCTCTGCGTTCAGTTTGCAGAAAAGTTTCAGGAATTTAAAGAAGCTGCTCGACTTGCAAAGGAGAAGTCACAGGAGAAGATGGAACTGACCAGTACACCTTCACAGGTATGTGTCATGGATCTGTTTTCATGTGTGAGCTTGCTCTCTTAAGATCATCATACCCTTTTTGCCAGAGTGAAATTTGGAAGAATAATGGCAAAATTAATTACAAAGTATATATAGAAGTGTGCTGGTCAATTAATCTCTACTACAAAGAATATATCAGTGTCTACAAGAATATTTTTAATATTTTAATCCAGATAACTTTTATGTACCTATCTATCTTAGTTTGAGTTTTTATTGCTGTGAAAAGATCATGACTGCAGCAACTCTTAAAAAGTAAAACGTTTAATTGAGTGGACTCCCTTATAGTTTTAAAGGTTCAGGCCGTTCTCATCATGGTGGGGAATATGGTGCTGGAGCTGAGAGCCCTACATCTTGCAGGCAAAAGGAAGTTGACTGAAGGCCACACTGTGGGAAGCTTGTGCAAAGGAGACCTCAAAGCCTGCCCCCATAGTGACTCAGTTCCTCCAACAAGCCCACACCTTCTAATAGTGCCACTCCCTTTGGGGGGTCATTTTCTTTCAAACAACCACATTCCATTCCCTGGCCCCCAAAGGCTTATAGCCATATCATAATGCAAAAATAATAATAATAATTAATAAATGCATTTAGTTCAACTTCAAAAGTCCCCATAATCTATAACAATCTGAAACTTATTTACTAGTCTAAAATTCAAAGTCTCTTCAGAGATTCATGTAATCTCTTAGCTGTAATCCCTTATAAAATCAAAATCAGCTGGGCAGTGTTGGTACATGCCTTTAATCCCAGATTTGGGAGGCAGAGGCAGGTGAATCTCTGTGAGTTCGAGGCCAGCCTGGTCTTCATACAAAATGAGTTCCAGGACAAGCACCAAAGCTACACATGTAAACCCTGTCTTGATAAACAAACAAAAATCAAAAAGCAGATCAAATACTTCCAACATATAATGGCACAGGATATACATTACTGTTCCAAAACATAGGGAAAGAAACATAGTGAGAAAATACTGGAGCAAAGCAAGACCGAAAACCAGCTGGGCAAACTCCAAACTCTGCATCTCCATGTCTGATGTCAGAACACTTCACATGTCTAGCTCCTTTCAGTTTTGTTGACTGCAACACACTTCTTTCTTTTTTATTGGTTCCACTCCTGTTAGTAGCTCTCCTCAGCAGGTATCCCATGGCTCTGGCATCTCTAACATCTTGGGGTCTGCAAGGCAACCCAGGTTTCAACTTCACAGCTTCATGCAATGGCCTCCATGCAGGGACACCCATGACACGTGCCTGGCCTCAACGGCTTTATTTCATAACTTTTCTTCTATTCTTAACTCAAAAGCCAGAACCACAGGACCAAAGCTTTCAACTTTGGCCCTCTTGTTTAATTACATCTTTACCAGCTTTCTGCCCTTCACTGCCTAAGCTTGGCTGACCTCAGACTCAGATCCACCAACCTATACCTTCCCAGTTCTGGGATTAAAGGCTTGTCTCACCACACTGGGTTTAAGCTTTTCTTTAGTTCCTTTTCACAAATTGGAAATTTAACTGGTTGGGATCTTACCCTGAGGTCACCACTCCCTTTATTCTATTCCTTAATCTGTTTATCTCCTTGAACACAGAATTTAGCTCTGTTACACTTTCTGGTGTTCTTTTTCTCTTCAAAGTTTTTATTTTCTTATTGACCCTGCTCAACTTGCTCCTTTTCATTATAAGTCTTCATTAGAGTTACCACTAAAAATCACATGGCAGAGTCTATACTAGGCTGTTTTGAGATTTCTTCTGCTAATGAAATTAATACAAAATTCTTCACTTTAGCTTTAAGCAGACTTTTAAGACAAGGGCAAAAAGCAACCACCTTTTTTCACCAAAATATTACAAGATCAGTGTCTGGACAACATACTAAAATTCTTCTCTGAAACCTTTTGAGTGAGCTCCCAACAGTTTAAATACTCTTAGTACCACTGTCTTCTTTGCTCCTATTAGTATGGCCCATTATGCAGTGCTTAAAGCATTCTACTGCTTTCCTAACCCAAAGTACCAAGGTCTAAATTCCTCCTAATAAACACATGGTCAGGACTATCAAGCCACGCTTGATACCAACTTTTGTATTAGTTTAAGTTTTTCTTGCTATGAAAAGACACCATGACCATGGCAACACTTAAAAATAGAACGTTAAATTGAGGGAGCTCACTTACAGTTTCAGAGATTCAGTCCATTATCAGCATGGTGGCGTGCAGGCAGACCTGGTGCTGGAGCTGAGAGTGCTATATCTTTCAGGCATCTGGAAGTTGACTTAAAGTCATACTGAGGGTAGCTTGAGCAAGAGAAGACTTAAGCCCGCTCCCAAAGTGACACACTTCCTCCAAGAAGGCTACATCTAATAATGTGATTCCCTTTGGGGCCATTTTCTTTCAAACCACTATGATACCTAACAACAGAAGAGCAAAAGTCCAAGATGATCAACCTTTGTTTTTGACCATGGTCTTTTGTACAGGCAGTGGTAAGACAAATTTGCTCACTTAGTGGAACTAAAGGAGAGCACTCATTCCTAGAAGCTAGGTGTGACACACCATGCAGAGCCACTTGGGAAAGCCCAAAGGAAGTAGTTAAGAGGCAGAAACAGCAATGGAAATCTATGCCAGACTTTGTCTTGGGATTTCATGGAAAAGTGGAGAAATGATAAAATAATTTAGGATTGGTTAGTTTGAGCTATTTTATTGGCTCTCAGTTTCTGTTGGCTCTAATCTGGCTCTGGAGTGATTAAAACAAAGGAATATGTTTCTGCAGTACTAGGCCAGATAAACTGGTTTGTTTGATACTAGCGTGGTTAGTTTGGTATCAGAATTCTGTTCCTCACTAGGCTCCTACTTTCTTAAAGTATTGACTAGTTCTAGGGGAGAGGAGTAATTTATCTAGTCAGAATATTGCAAGATATTGGATAATTATGGTGAGTAGAATTGCTTATGTGCAAGCTTGACAAGCTAAGTTCTCCCCCGAGAACTCCCAAGATGGCAGGAGAGAACCAACATCCATGCCCTCTGTACCCCACATGCCTGCCATAGCTTGTGCATCTCCCCACCATAATAATCTTTTTTTTTTTTTTTTTGATTTTTTGAGACAGGGTTTCTCCGTAGCTTTTGGTTCCTGTCCTGGAACTAGCTCTTGTAGACCAGGCTGGCCTCGAACTCACAGAGATCCGCCTGCCTCTGCCTCCCGAGTGCTGGGATTAAAGGCGTGCATAATAATCTTTTTAAAAATAAAAAATTGCAAAATATAAAACATTGTAAAATATAAGGCATATGGTTGGTTATTCCTGATGTTAGAATCTGCTTACATCTAACTATTTGGCAAGCCTCACTAAGTATAAAGAGTTCATTTTTGTTTTACTTAGGAGAGTTGTGCTAAATGTGCTTTCCTCACAGACTAAACGTTTACTGCGAATTGGAAACAAAGTCCATTCTTCCATACTTGCAGCAACCTGGTATAATTTGGGTTATCTTTGTGAAACTCTGTTGAATTTCCTTTTCAAATGCTTTGCTACTCCAGCGATTCCTTTAAGCATAAAAGCCATTTAAAATTATGTGCCACTGTGTATCGGGAGTTCTGATTCTTTCAGGTGAATGATTTTGTTGTTACCAAAAGCTGCAACAAAAAGCACATTGCACATTCAGTTAGTAAATACAGAAAAATATTAATAAAGCTGTAGTGGTTGATACATTGTCAGTGTATTTAGTTACTGTTTCTCCAGTTATAACTTGCTGTGTTATAATTGATTGTAAACTATTACAGGTTAGTAAGCTAATTTCTTGTCTTTGGTGGAAGAAATGTCTTGAAGCTTTTACTTTGGTCAAACATATGTAGAAAAGATGATCATATTTGGAAAAAAAAATCATGTTATAAAAAGAATGGGCCAGGCAGTGGTAGCGCATGCCTTTATTCCCAGCACTCTGGAGGCAGAGGCAGGTGAATCTCTGTGAGTTCTAGGCCAGCCTGATCTACAGAATGAGTTCCAGGACGGGCTCCAAAGCTACACAGAGAAACCCTGTCTCAAAAAAAAAAGTAAAGAAAAAAATGAATAATATGTTAATTTGTTCAGCATTTTAGATATAGGCCTTAATTTATCAAATATTAGAAGTCTATTAACTTACTTTGTAGGAGCCAGAGAAAAAGTAGAAAAAAAAATAATTTTTTCTTCCTCCTCTTCCTTGCATTTATGACAATCTAATGCTTCTGTTTTGTTTGAATGGAATAATTTTAATGCAATAACTTGTGATAGTAGATGGTCAAAACCCTTATTTTTATTTGAGGAGGTATACCATATTAGTTAAGAATATTTGAGTGGGCGGCAGAGATGGCTCAGAGCATTGCCTGCTCTTCCAAAGGTCCTGAGTTCAATTCCCAGCAACCACATGGTGGCTCACAACCATCTGTAATGGGGTCTGGTGCCCTCTTCTGCCTGTAGGCATATACACAGACAGAATATTGTATACATAATAAACAAACAAACAAATAAATAAATAAATAAAAGAATATTTGAGTGTGTGGGATGGGATATAGCTCAGTGATACATATAGAGAGAGAGACCCCTTGCTTATCAAATTCTAGAATAGATGCCCAGCACTAAAAAGCAAAATGAAATGAGATGGGAAGCTCAAGATGGTTCAGCATGCACAATCTCTTGGTGTACAAGCCTCATAACCTAGTTTGTGTGATCCCTAGAGCCACATGGTGGAAGGAGAGACCCAACTCCTGACTCTACTGCCTCATGCTGTAACACTCAAGTGCCCCTTCTCTTCCTTTTTCCCTCTTCCTTTTTCCCTCCCCCTGCTTCTCTGTCCCTCTCTCTCCCTCCGAACTTTCATTCTCCATTTACTCCAAAAAATACACAGCAAACAGTAAAACACAAAAGAAAGCGTACGTATTTTCAAGTCAGATGAACTTAAGTGGTTTTTTTGTTTTTTGTGACTGGAGAAATTGCTTAACCCAAGAGTGTTTGTACATTTTAGCATGAGTTTTATATCACTTTATTGAGAGAGTTGAGTATGATAAAGGTAATGGCAACTCATGGTTAGTGAATGATGTGTACTCTCGAGCCAGGCTTGAATTTTGGCACTATTCTTTATTAGCTTTATGAGTTAGACCAGAAGGTAGGTGTGGGAGGGCTGTGCGTGAAATTAGGAATAAGACCACCGAAGTCTTTAAACAGTACCTGACATGTAATAGTTGTTAGGAAAACATAGATGCCGTGTGTTTTAGGGTTTCTATTGCTTTGATAAAACCATGACTTAAAAGAACTTGGGGAGGTAAAGGTTTATTTAGTTTTTATATCCTATGTCATGTAGTAATAAGAGCGGCGGGGCTGCGTCCCTGGCACCCCAGCCGCCTGGCTAGCTTATGCTCCGAAATAACAACACACAAACTGTATTCATTTAAACACTGCTTGGCCCTTTAACTCTAGCCCTTACAGGCTAATTCTCACATCCCGATCAACCCATCTCTAATAATCTGTGAGCACCGGTCTTACCGGGAAAGGTTCAGCATGTCTAACCTGGCGGCTTGCTTCATCGCGTGCGTCTGCCTGGGAGAACGGAGCATGGCATCTCTCTGAGGCGTCTGCTCCCCAGAGGAGAGCTGTGGAGTCTGAGCTCACTTCCTCTTCCTCCCAGCGTTCTGTTCTGTTTACTCCTCCCACCTATCTTCTAACCAATAAAATGGGCCAATGCAGTTCCTTTATTAGCCAATGACCTTCCTCCATCAATGTCACAGACCCTTGAGGGAAGCCAAAGTTGGAACCTGGAGTTAGGAACTGAAGCAGAAGCGATGGAAGAACTCTGCTGTTTGGTTTGCTCAACCTGCTTCTTACATAACCCAGGACCACCTGCTTAGAGGTGGCACTGCCCACAGAGGGTTTATTAGTCAAGAAAATGCCTCACAGGCTTGCCAGCAGGCCGGCCTAACAGAGGTGGTTTGTTAATTGAGATCTCTTCTCAGATGACTAGTTTGTGTTGAGTTGACGAAAAACAACCAGCACAGCATGCGTCAGAATTCTCTGGAAGACTTACTAAAGCACAGTATAGTTTTCATACTTAATAGGTCTAAGATGGAGCCCAGAAAATTGTATTTCTGATCCCTTTTCAAGAGCTACTGGTGAAATTGGTTGTAGGTAAGGAATTTTATAAATAAACAAGTTATTCCATCCACCTTCAATTCCTGAAATGAAAGGAGTCTGGCATTTAGACAGAAGTTAGCCATTTCATAGTCTTACCCTCTTGAGCTAAGGCTGTATATACTCCTGGCTTAGTAGGGAGAGAGTTAAAGCTAGCATGAGCACTGTAGTTATTAAGTCAAGTCTGTACGGGCTGCAGGAAGTTAGGTGAAGTCTAGAACAGTAGAAAGGGAGTGGAACAGATCGGGAGAGCCAGAGACTGTGGGGTACACACTCTTTGTCTGTTGGAATCGAAACCAATAGTTGATGAATTAATCAAGAAAGAACTAAGGCTTGAAGAACAGATCTGTAATCTCAAATATCCTGGTTGAGGCAGGAGGATTGTAAAGTATGCCTGGGCTACACACTGATAAGATTCTGTCTTAACATAACAGTAAGTGAAAAACAGGGTTGAGCGCATCGGTACAGTGCTTGCTTAATGTGCGGAAGGCCCTAGATTCAATCTTCTTAGTGGTGGAAAATATGAGGAAAATGTTTTAAAACATTCTTAAAATTGTTATATTATCATTCAATAATTTTATTCTTCAATATTTTAATCTCAAACCTTAAAATAGGTTGTTGACTTGAATCCTACCTTTATCTTCTGTGTTTGATTCTAACAGATTTACTATACCAAGAGTTAGTTGTTAAGGGAGGTCTCTGCAGGATGTGAAACCAGCAGGGAAATGATCCTGGTGAGGGAAGAGTGAAACTCGACACCGATTTAGGTGGCTGGTGCTGGGCCAAGATTCTGAGAGTCTGACGTCAGCTTATATATTTTTTGCCTTTTTGCCGTATTTAAGCACTGCACAATTTTGGAAAAAGTTTTCAGATAAGAATTAACCCATTCCCTTGAGTACAACAAACCTTAAGAAATGTTACAAAGTGTGTATGACTTCATCCCTAAAATGGATTCTGTTGACTTAGAAACAGTACTCAAAAGAAGGTCTAGGGAGGACAACTAACGTAAACATAATCCCTGTGGGAGTCAGGGTTTGGCCTGGCCCTAAGGTAACATAGAAGTCAATTAGGCTGTTGTAAAATACAAGTGACTTCTCTCCCAAGGATGAGTTTTATGGCCTAGAAGCAGTGCTCAGGGTTTTTAGGGGAAAAGGCCTGGAATTAACAAACATAGTATTCTGAATGATATGGACAGAGTCTAGTTCAACAGGTAGCAAAGGATTACCAAGTTGTAAGCTATATTTTCTCCCAACATTCTGGGAGATCGGCCAAATATCTTCTCCCTTTGGAGAGATTAGCAGTGTGTTTAATTTTCCTGCCTTCTCTAGTGCTTCTCTGTGTGCACAACAAACAACCTTTTTGCCCTTTACACGTTTTCTTGAATTTTGAGGGTTTTTTATTTTGCTTTGTTTTGTTGTTTTTGAGAATAGGTTTATTTTGACCTGCAATTTGAAGGGATATATATTCATTATGGCAGAGAAGATGAAGCTGCTGGTCACATTGCATCTGAAGTCAGGAAGCAGAGAGAGATGAATTTGAAGTTGTTAAATAGAGCTAAACCTTGGCACTTGCAAACATACCTGAATATTCTATTTTTATATCATTTCTCTGATATATGGTATGATAAATATAGTGTATTATATATAATCAATTCATCTGTGAGTTTTATTTTACTTTATAGCCATTTATTTTTCAGACATTTTAAAGCATTTCATTTGGTTTTAATTAAAATAACTTCTAGCTTTGCATTCAGATTTCATTAATTAGCATAATATTTAATCCAGTTATTAATATTGTAAGTATAGTTGGCATAAACAATCTTGAAGGCAAATACAGCTGGCTCCATTAGACAGTTACTGTCTAATGCAGTTACTGGGTACAAAATATGTAAGCAGAGTGAAGAGTGACCTGTTAGTCATGAACCTCAATCATTTAGTGCATCTTACAATGTTACTTAGGGGTTGGTTGTTCTTACAGAGGACCAGAGTTCAGTTCCCAGCACCTATGTCAGGGAGCTTACAACCCCAAGTCACCTCAGCTCTGGAGGATCTAACACTCTCTCTTCTGTCTTCTGTAAGTGCATGCATACACTCACACAAACACACACTAGCACATAAAAATATAATAGTATGGGTTGGTTCAGACTCAGATTTTCTTTTCCTTTCCTTTCTATTCCTCTTTTTTCCAATGTGTGTGTGTGTGTGTGTGTGTGTATGTGTGTGTGTAGGGAGGTTCTAAATGTTTACTATTTTTCTAATCCTTAGTGTTGACATTAAATTGTAAAATGCCTTTAACATAATTAAAAGTCTGTTAATATGCTTGACTTTATATTTAGAACTCTGAAAAACTTCCATGAAAAGTCCATGACTTTCAGCAGTCACAGAAGCAGTATCTTTAAAGTCAGATAGGAGCAGAGGGAACCCATGGCCTTGCCACATGCTGGGCCCGCACTGTGTCTGTCTAAGAATGTTAAGTTGTCAGAAGCTGGGATTTCAGAGATGGTGGCAGACTATAGGGACTAATTCACACCGGAAGATGACAAGATACTTGCCTCAACTCCATCTTCTTTATGTATCAGAATCATGAAGTATCTCCCCAGATTTTCCCTTCACACTTCACAGAAAAGTAGGTATTTACAGTTTTGCAGAAGTATGAAAGAATGAGGTGGGTGAGTCTTTAGTGGATGTTTATTAAATAATAAAGGGCCTGTTTTAGTGCAGCTGAAAAGGAAGAAACTAAGGAACTCTTCGGGCCTTATTAGAATTAGTACAGAGTCTGGTGAGAAAGGGTGGAGCTGGTAGTGCCCCCCACCCTGCTTACCACACTGTAGGTGGTAATAGTCTTCTGTTTTTCTGAGACAGTGTCTCATTGTGCTGCTCAGGTTGGCCTTGAAGCACACTATTCTCCTGCCTTGTCCTCTTGAGTGCTGGGATTGTAGGCAAACACTATCATGCCCATTTTTCATTCTGAAGTAATTTTGTGAATACCATTTACTCTATTTGGTTTCTTTTATTAACACAAATATTCTTTAGGTTTTTAAAATTACATTTCTAAATCGTTATCTTGATAATTTTAAATTATGTTATAGTTTATTAATTTTCTTATGAGTTGCTTTCTTGAAAAAATATTTTTAATCTAATTCAGATTTCAATTGCTATTTGATTTATCACAAGGAATTCATTTAGATGACATTGTGTGACTGAACAAAAGTAAAACACTTTTTAAAAAATCTCTTACTCTCTTTTCTCTCTTTCTTCTTCTTTTTTTAAAGGAGTCAGCAGGAGGAGATCTTCAGTCTCCTTTAACACCAGAAAGCATCAATGGGACAGATGATGAAAGAACACCTGATGTGACACAGAACTCAGAGCCCAGGGCTGAGCCAGCTCAGAATGCATTGCCATTTTCACATAGGTACACATTCAATTCAGCAATCATGATTAAATAAGTTGTATAAATGTGGAAGCTTATTTGGTTTCAGAAACAACCTTTGAGTGAAAATCTCAGGTCAGACTTCTTTAATTAATTTATTGTTTTTGGTTGCTTAAATTGATTGACTAAGTGAATATTTCCCTTATCTTTGTGGAAAAGGAGGTATTGAGTTAATTATAGGAGAAACTTTTTCAATGGAACAAAGCATAAATTCCTTCTAATTTTTAAAGACCCCTTTTGTTAACCAATTTGCTGTTTTCATGTATGTAACCTAAGACTCACAAATTGTAATTAGAAGCAATAGGATTCCTACTCTGAAGTCAAGCTTTTCCATTGTCCTAGAGGTGTCATAGTTTGATTTCACAGAAGACAGTAGATACCAGGCATAAGCCTGTGAATAGTAATAGCAGGTTGCTTTGTCTGCCAACAGGAGAAAAAGCTTGAATTGCTTCTGAATTTTTAAAAGAATTCTGTATTCTAAAAGATACAGTATGTTCTTAATGTATTATAAACTAGTTACATTAATTATTGACCAAATGGTATTATTAGATTGTAATGAAGAATGTGAAAAGGCACTATTGAAATTATTTTTTTAAACCCTATCTGTAATCTGCCTTAGCATTAATTTTTACCCTTATTTGAATGCTTTTTACTAACTAGCTTATGTAAAATTAAGAAAATAGTTTTGTTTTGTTTTTTTACTGCACATTGTTTTGGAGGGACCAAGTTTACAAAATTAAATTCTTTAACAGATTAAAAGTTGCAAAGTGAGATATTTCAAGCTGTCTTAAGTGAATTCTAATTTTGATTGAGCTGAATTAAGTAATGGGGCATAGGACTAAACATACTAGACAAGTAGTAAGGAATCTCATTAGGCTAAGGAGGAAGTCAGGAATGATTTTTTAGAAAAAATGGGAAATTTTGAATGTAAGGTTGCTCTAATACAAATTTTACATAAGATAGTAAGACTTTTTGAAGTAAGTTGTTCCTGATTTGAGTTACTGGAGTATACAGAGCTGAACTCGGGAAAACCTTCATTCCCTCAATCTGACTTCTAGACATTCACGTCGATTTAGTGAGCAGTCTTTTAAAAGGACTGCAGTTCTTTGATACCATTACAAAAATTACATTATTTAATTATAAAAATGGTATTGTAGGATAGAATTTAAAATTTTTTAACTATATTATGGAAAGGAAAATTTTCCTTTCTATTATGTTATATTTAACATTTGCATTTAAAGGACTGAACTGTAGCGATGGTAATTATATACTTAACACCTCAGCTGAGTCCTCTGTACTGAATACTGTGGCATTTAGAAATAACAACTTTTAAATTTAACATCTATAGAAGCTACTTCTAGTTTATACACTTAAATTTTCACAGTGTCCACTGTTTTGCTAATCCTTAATATTGCCATTGCTTCCCTAGAATAGGTCCTCACTAATGATTTTTTTTTCCTGTTTTCATGAGTGTCTGTGAGGAGTCACTTTTACCTTAAAGATACTGCTTCTGTGACTTCCATGATTTGTCATGAAGGATTTGACAGTGTTCTGAATAGGAAACCTGGGAGATTAATTTCATCTTAGTCTATGTTGAAGGCATTTTATAATCAGACAGTTTTTCTTAATATGTTAAGAATTCTCAGTGTAGGATTTTATAAAAAAGTATTCCTTTGAATTCAATGGTATATGATTCAGCATTCATCTACTTTCTTGACTGAAATAAAGATTTTCATGGGAGATGGATTATTTACAGGTACTGCAAGAATTCCTACTTTTCAAAAAGATAGAAGATGGTATTATTCAAGATTTCCTAAACTATGGTAGTTTCAGATCAACTTAGTAGGTTTTCCATGGCTTCTGAAAAAGAAGGGAAGCAGAAAACATCAGTTAAACTCATTGTAGTGTCGGTGTTATGCATATATATGTGCATGCTGAATTACGGTGTAAAGCATCACAGTTTGAAAGCACATGCCTTTGACTTAGAGAAAACTAAATCCTAAAATTTAGTTTATTATGTCCTAGGTCCAATTGCTCATTAATAATTACTGTGATTCGATGGCTCAGTTCTTCTGACTCTGCCCTAGTATATATGTGTATGTATGTATGTATATATATATACACATATCATAATACATACATAATAACTTTTAAAAATGTTTATGTGTATGAGTGTTTTAAATGCAGGCATGTCCATGCCTGGTACCCACAGAAGCCAAAAGAGGTTGTAAGATGCCCTAGAATTGGAGTTCTAGATGGTTGTGAGCCACCATGCAGGTGCTGGTATCTCAACCTTGGTCTTTCTTCTACAAGAGCAGCAAGTGCTCTTAAGCACTGAGCCAACTCTCAAGCCTTCCTTCATTGTGTTATTTTAAAAGCAAATTATAGATACATAATTTTATCTACAATAGTTTCTTGAACTTTTAAGGGAATATGACTAAGCTAGGACAGTTTTTATTTTACCTAATTCAGTGTCATAATGCCATACCTTGATCATTTACTACTTTCTTTGGTTTTTAGAAAGTATACTGCTAAATGGGCTCTTAAGTACTCTTTAGTTAAGTGCTATCGTACTGTTTTATGTCCCTGACATAAACTATGCAATGATAGTCTAATCAAATATGTTTTGAGGAATGAACACTCTTTAGTCTACTTCCATAAGTGCTTTCAAAAACTTCAGAAATGTAAAACAGGAAGACCACAAGGGTAAATGTTGGCTAATTTCTGTGAGGATATGTTATTAAATCTTTTCTAAATTACTTTTTTCTTTAAAATTATTTTTAACTTTATTGTTTATCCTTTTGGGGTTGAACAAAAATGCATTGACAACTGAAGTGACTTTTTAGGGTGTAATTTGAGACCATAGTTTTAAACTAGCTAACTAAAATGTAGTTATACCCTAATAGACCAACCTGTATGTATGTGTGTAAAAACGTTTTCCTATCTTATACAAGGTAATTGTTTGCTTCCTGGTGTCATTTGTGTGGAATTTTGGAATGTGTTATCTCTTACAATAAGTGGTTGGATTTTTTAAATTAAGATTTAAGACAACCTAATTCTCTTAGAAGTAATTAGTTTTATATTATTGTAGTGCTGCTGGAATGTGATATTGAAATATATTACTGAAAAGAAATTTTATTTTGTTAATTATAACTTTGATTCTCAGATGCAGTATTTATATTGATAAATAACTGCTATCATCTTTTTAAGAGTTCAGAACATAGATCAGCAGTTTGTGAAGCTATTTTTGTACTGACATTTTAATAGGTTTGGCTACCATAATGGAAAATAGGTTCTTTTAAGGATTGATTATATTTGGATTCTTCTAATGTTTGGATAGTACATTCTTATGGTGCTGCTGGACTTTTGCATTTTGGAGGTACTGCATGTGTCTTCTATTCTGTTAGAGATTTTTTTGCCATTTCTTGTGTGTTTCCAATAACCCATTAAAAGGTATATACAAAAATATTTTCTAGTATATTGCTTTTTACTATAAAACAATATAATAGTAAACACCTGGGTTGATCCGCTCCATTTTTATCCATTATCTAAGCTTCAGAAAGGGACTAGATTAAAGTTACATCTAGACGTTTTTGTGCAGTTTTAAAAGCTAAATTTCATTGGCTGTCTTAAGGAACATTTTAACCAATTTTTTAAAAATTAAAGTATGTATATTTAAATGAGCTAAAGTATACCAAAGTGTACTTTTTATAAATTAAATACAGTTTGTAGTTATTTGCAGATGTTACAAATCAGAAAAAAAGTGAGTACTGTTAATAGGCCTAAGTTCTTCCTGTTGTGCTGGCACCTGCCTTTAACCCTAGCTCTCTGGAGGCAAGGGGGAGTAGATTTCATGAGTTCCAGGTCAGCCAGGATTATACAGTGGGACCTTGTCTCAAAAACGGGTCTAATTTACCACTTACTGTGTATATCCAGGCGTGTATCTCTCTCCTTTTCTAGGTAAAGAGAACCTAGAAGGTTATATGTATGGACTAAAGTAAAAATAATTGCTGTAGGTAATTTTTTTGGATAAATCTATAAAACTGGAGTTTAATTTTATAAGAAGTGATTTTTTTATCACCGATAAAATTATAGGCAAAAATTTTACATTGTACAATTCCCTTATCTGCTACAGTTTGACTTTGCATTGTCAAACTTCAAAAATTATACTAGATTTTTTAAGGTTAATATGAAAGCTAAGATAACTTGAGATCATAACTCAGCAATTTAGAGATACAGAATTTACTTTACCATAATTGTGAAAGGGTAGCATTTTATAACAAGTGCTGTCTTGTTAATTCGCTACTTAATACTGAGCTGCGTTCTCTGCGAACTGAGAAGCAATTTATGTCTTTTAAAAATAAATGCAACAAAGAATATAGTTTTATCACCAAGATTGTTAAGTAGTTTTCTGAGTGGATACACCTAATTTTCTGTCTTAAAGTTTTGGAAAACTACTTTTCATTTTCTTCTGAAGTCATCTAAGATTTTGTGGAAATGTTAAAATTTGCTAAAGCCTTTTGTAAGGCATCATCACTCTGTATAGGTTATTTATAAGAAGAAATGTTTCTGTGAGATCCAGACATTTCTAAGCTACTTCCAGTGTATGATTAGTTCCTTCCTCTTCCCTTCCCTTCCCTGCTGTTACTGTTAGTGAGGAAAGATATTGCTAGTTCATCTCTTATGCTGTCAGCTTCTTTTTGCAGCTGTCTGATTGGAGTTAGCTATGTGGTAACTGGCCATAGATGAGATTGATGTAGATTATGATCCCTTCCCTTGGAGGACTTTTAAAAATTCCTCCTTTCTCTTTCTGTTCTTAGCAAACCATTGCATGGATTCCATTGGAGAGCGGTCAGCTCTGGCTCATAAGGGAAAATGCTTTTATTTCTATTTGACTTTACTTTTTAGAGAATTAAAGATTAAGACCAAGATAAAACAAACCTAGGGAGAAGCAGGCATGCTGCATGCATAGGTGAAATTTG